CAGGCATGAGTCACAGTACCTGGACGGTTTTTCCTTTCCTTAACAGTGTCTTTTGAAGGGAAGGCATTTTAAATTTTAATGATGCCTGGTTTTATCAATTAGCTCTTTTACAAACCATGCTTTTGATGTCACATAAAGAGATGTTTGTTAACCCAAGGCCTCATAGTTTCTTCTAGAAGTTTTATAGTTTTATGCTTCACATTTAGGCCTATGTTTCATTTTGGGTTAATTTTTGTCTACAGTGAAGGTATGGATTGAAGTTCATTTCTGAGGGGTTGTATAGGTACTCACTTATTCCAGCGCCATTTGTTGAAAAGACTATCCTATTTCCAATAAATTGCCTTTATACCTTCATCAGAAATTCGTCATTTGTTTATATGTGGGTCTGTTAATGAATCCTATTCTGTTCCATTGATCTGTTTATTTTGACATCAGTACCACACTGTCTGCCTTACTGTGCTTTAGGATAATATAAATACCAAGTGGAATTAAGCCGAAAACTTAGTTTTTCTTTTTCAAAGGTTCGTTTTTTTTTTTTTTTTTTTTTTTTTTGGGTCCTTAGCATTTTCAGATAAATTTTTGAAAGAATTTGTGAATTTCTAGAAAAAGCCTGTTTTGTTTTTGATTAGTATTGTAGTAAATCTGTCGATCAATTTGGAAAGGATTGACATTTTAGATATTTAGTCTTCTGATCTTGAATATGGATTTATTTTGCTCTTCATTAATTTCTCCCAGCAATGTTTTGTAGTTGTGACTGTACATTTTATCTTTCACAACTTTTGCCAGATTTATTCCTGAGTATTTCATATTTTTGAGGCTATCATAAATGGCATTATTTCCTAAATTTTAATTTATGGTTGTTTATTCTTAATACTTATACAGTTGATTTTTGTATGCCCATCCTGTATCCTGCAAACTTGCTAAACTCACTGATTGGTTCTAGTAGTTTTTTTTTTGTGTGTGTGTGCATTCCAAAGGATTTTCTATGTAGAATAGCATGTCTTCTGAGAGTAAAGCAGTGTTATTTTTTCCTTTTAAATCGAAATAATCTTTAATTCCTTATCTTGCCTTATTGCTTTGGCTAGAATCTCCAGTACAATGTTGAATAGAAGTGGTAAGAATAGACACTTGTTTATTTTCTATCCTTTTACTTTTAACCTGCTCATGTCTTTTTAGCAGTCTCTCACTATTAAGTATGATGTTAGCTGTAGGGTTGTTTGTAGATGCCCTCCATCAAGATGAGGAGGCTCTCTCCTCCTCCTCATTGCTGGGAGTTTTTTTAGGAACGACTGTTGGATTTAGTCAAAAACTTTACCTATAAAATGATCATATAATTTTTCTTTTGTAATTTGTTAACAGGATGAATCACATTGTTTATTCATTTATTTTCAGAGCCAGAGACTACAGCACTGTGTTGATTTTTAAAAATGTTAAACCCACTTTGTATCCCTGGGATAAAGCTTACTACATAATATATTGTCCTATTAACATATTGTTAGATTTGATTTCCCAAAATAGTTTAGAATTTTGGCCTCTATGTTCATGAAATATAATGATTTTTAACTTTCTTTTCTTATAATGTATTTGTCTGCTTTTACTATCAGGATAATGCTGACTTTATAAAACTGGTTGGGTAAGCATTCCTTCTTTTCAATTTTTTGGAAGAGTTTGTGTAGAACTGGTGTTATTTCTTCCTTAAATGTTTGGAGGATTCACCAGTGAAGTCATTTGAGCCTGGAATTGTTTTTGTGGGATGGTTTTAAATCCAAAACTAATTTTCCTTAATACTTATAGGGCTATTCAGATTATCTATTTCTTTTTAGTGGAATTTGTTAGTTACTGTTTTTTTGAGACATTTTTTTCATTTTACCTAAATCATTGTACTATGGGCATAAAGTTCTTCGTATATTTTCTTATTATTGTTTTAATATCTACAGAATCTTTACTGATGATACAGCTCATTTGTCATGCTGATAATTTGTATCTTCTAAAATTTTATCAACTTTATCTCAAAGAACCAGCTTTTGGTTCATTGATTTTCTCTAATGTTTTCCTGTTTTCTATTTTATTGATTTCCACTCTGATTTCTATTTCCTTTGACTTACCCTGATTTTTATTTGCTCTTATCCTTCTCATTTCTTTCTTTTTTTTTTTTT